GAAGATTTACTGCCCTTTTTCTCCGATTTCGAAAAGATTGATGATTTTAAAGAAGCAATTTGCGAGGCGCTAAGAGTGAGGAATCTTGAAGTTTTAATTTATAATTGTATCTAATTTTTTTTTATTACCTAGGATTACAACCAAAAAATTCTTGAACTTAAACACGAAATGGATGAGTGTGACAAACAAGCCATGCGTGTGCTCAAAGACTTGCAAAATTGTCGTGCGCGTAGTATTCGTATAAACGCGCAAGAGACTTGCAACCTTTGCGAAACATTTCTCTTAGTAAAGCCATTCTTCGTTTTTGTCTGTGGTCACAAATTTCATAGTGATTGTATAGAAAAACAAATTTTACCTACATTAAGCAGAGATCAAAGCCACCAACTAGTCACGCTTAAACAACAACTGGAAACACTATTGACTCAAAGTATGCCAATGGATAACGACGCAGCAGTTGTGCAAATTCAACGCGCTGAAATAAAAACCGAAATCGAGAATATAATTGCTGCTGATTGTTATTTTTGTGGTGTAATGATTGAAATGATCGATCAACCATTCGTCTCCGATTGGGATCAGGTCAATGTCGATTGGGATTAAAGAGTATTTAAGGAGCGTATCGATTAACATAATGTATTAAAAATATATATATTAAGATTAAACTCATCCATGTATACTATGTGAGTAGGTTAAGCTTGCAATAAACATAGCCATTATATTTTTACACCTAATTATTCTTACTCAAAACTCCACTGCTAATTTGTAACTGTTGAAAACTGTATTGAATTGTGTATATGTATGTATATCATATAAAACGCAGATATATACATATGTAGCTAATAAAAAAAGTTAAAACCTGAATTAAATGTTACTCTACTCTTGTAAGCTCTTGGGGGAAGACCATTTTTTAATTCCTCGTTATAATCTTTAGACTCTCAGACAACTGCAGTTAATTTAAACATAATTATAAGAAATTTCTCTTTCGAATGAAAAAAGTTCTTTTAATTTTAATCTTACTTTATTTTAATCTTACTTTTAATAAAGTTTAAACAAAAACTTGCTTTTTATATATGGAAATTACTTTATGCTTAAAACTACTGTTCGCGTTAATATTTTTGTGTCTTAACTTTTGAATACATTTACATAAACAAAAACTAAGAACAATACGCATGAATATAAAGCAAGTAATGTTATATACAAACAGCTTGTTAGAAATATTGTGCCCAATTGCGTTAAATGTTCCCTTGCAACCCATATAATACCTAAAGGTCAGTCGATTATTTGCAGGTTTAGCTCATTTGATACAAACGAAATCGCCGTCTTCAGAACTGCTTGTTGAATGCTTGCGTTGTTCATTATCAACGGCAGCAATAGTGCCAAATCGGATATTTCGAATTCAGCAACTGCATTGTTGACATGTCGCACTAACTGCTCTTGTTGTCGATCCGTTAAATCATTTAACAATACATCAGCTAACGGTCGGAAGGTGCCTTCAACAAGAAAAAAATTAAAGATTAAAGTCCACTTTTTTAAGAAAGTTGGGTAGCTTATCAGCACGCGCTTATTGTGTTTAAATTATACATATGATTCATCTAACAATTAAACTTTATTTAAGTGCATGGTATACGAGGAAAAGTTCCAACTTACCACTAGTCATTTTATATGCCATCAAGCCACCGGCGGTACTACCAACAACTAAACCTAAAGGGCCAAGCAATAATCCCCCTGCAAAAGCACTCGCTGCACAAACTAAAACAAAAAATGTATGGCGCAAATTTTTCTAGTATAATGAAATCCCTTATTAGCATCCAAATACATACCCATAGCTCCTTTTCCAGCCTGTTTCGCGGTCACTCGTACATTGCGCTGATTGGCAATTATAGAAATTGCCTCCATTAATTCTCGTGCATCAATAGGCATTTTATTATATATAACTTTACTAAAAAACAATTTTGTAAGAATTACGTGTATTTACCAAAAAAATAGTTTATAATTAGATATCAACAGTAGCGCTGGAAAAATATCGATGACACTATCGATAGTATCGATAGTTTGCTTTTTATTGCCACTATCGATAGTGTCGTTCGTTTGTTGTTTCGTCTGTAATTACTAAACCACTTTAGTGTATTATCGCCAAAGTGAACTGAACCGTTTTCTCTCTGTATTGTACCGAACTGCTGAAGTAATAAACGAAAAGAATTAGTAACGTACAATATCGTTTATTATAATCATATAAGATTAAACAGATACCTTTAGAACTTTGTTACCGATTCAAACACGCCCATTTTCGGCAATTTATCTTTTGGTGTTGCCCTTCACGTTCACACAGAGAAAATCTTTTGTACACAATTGTTGTTGTCAGCTGTGAACGGCCAATTAGAATTACTCAGACGAACGAGAGCACAAAGCGTGTTGCCCGAGCACGAACAACTCGGTGTCCTTCCCCTTTCCTTGTCTCCCCCTCTCCAACAAGTAACGAGTTGCCGCGACAAAAGTTTCCCCCTCTCCTAGACTATTGAGCAAACCATTAATTATTGAATCATGTGTGTTGTGTACGGTGAAACTTCGTCATACTTGAATAGTTTTCATGGAAGAAGATAAACAATTTATGTTAAAATTCTTAAAATTTTGAATTTCTAATAAATAACTGCTTGGTGTATGGCGAATTGTGTTGTATCGAGTACTTTCACAATGATTGTTATCGATCAAAAATATCGATGAATCTTTTAAATATCTATTTGGCGCTGCTTATCGCTGCATTAAAGGCGAATTCAATGGTGATGCATTTTTGGCCATTGAAATGAGAACGTCGAAATGATGTGTTTGTTGTAATTCATACTGTCCTTCTGCGTATAATATGTTTTAATGCCGTTTTAATCCTCAGTAAATATACAAGATGGAAATAACACAATTAGGTGAGTTCATAGGCAGGTCTAATTTTCTATTCATGCGCTATAAAAGATCTTTCTTTTGATTATTGTGCTAATGATTTTATTAAAAAATGAATTGAAATGAAATGAAATTGGGAAGAGGATTTTTAACGTCAATTTTTCCGATATCGATATTGTTCAGCCCGATATATCGCCATCTCGATTTTACACGGAATGAATTAAATGGGCTCTGTCACACAGTCAGTAATTATCACGATATTTAGATCGCGATCCATATTGATGGATTGATGGATCGCGCACGAATGCTACATGTTCAATATTTATCGCGTCAGTATTTGCATAATTTTTGTGCTGAATGCTTATTATGACGCAAGAAAATATTTTTATTTTGTACGTATAATTTACCGACAATGCATTCCACAATTATTTTAAAATTTACAATGTTAATTAAACTTTGTGTTGAAAGATTTTAAGCCTTGAGAGCGAAGGCAGAGCCGATGTTCGCATTATGAGAGTAAAAGATGTACTGACGAAATGTATGGATCGCGTTTTGTAAGTGCTACACGTTCAATATTTATTGACGGTATTGCAACCCACGATCCAGATTTCAAAATTTTTAGAAATTTTGCGATCAATAAATATCGCGATACTTGGATCACGTCAATAAATACTGACCGTGTGACAGTGCCCTCGATCCATACATTTCGTAAGTACATCTCGTACTCTCATAATGCGAACATCGAAAACGTATTCGCTATGCCTTCGCTATCGGTGCTTAAAAGCTTTCAAAACAAATTAAAAAAATTTTAATTAACATTGACAATTTTAAAATAATTGTAGAATGCATTATCTGTAAATTATTCATACAAAATAAAAATATTTTCTTGCGTCATAATAGGCGTGATAATTACTGATCGTGTGAAAGAGCCCTTAGAAATGTTGCGATATGGATCACGATCCATCAATACTACTTGCTACACCGTCAATAAATATCGCGATACTTGGATTGCGTCAATAAATACTGACCGTGTAATACTATGTCTCCATTGAGAGATTTATCCATTAAGATTTAATAAATCCAGTTGCTAAATCACAACCGTCTCCATTACCACAACGAGATATGTTTGACGTTCACATTTTTAAATATTTGACGTTTGCTTATGTATGATTTTATAAATACAGTTGCGGACATTGATATACAGACAGATAAAAGGAAGGTACCAAGCGGAATTTCATTATATGAATTCTGAATATTATTGGCTTCTTATTCGTGGTAAATATGTATGTATATTATATGGTTTGGAAAGTGTAAAGAATGGTACCATATTCCGAATCATTTTCCCGAATTTAAGAAAAATTATCAAAACGGTAAAAACATTTGCGGAAAGAAAAATTTTTGTAGAACTCTCTTATTCATAGGAGGGAACCGAAAATCCAATCGTGGGCCTTTGGCATATCATGAATACGAACTGAGTTCTAGAGGATGTTCGATGCAATGTTATCGAAGCAGAACCATTACCGAAATTTATAAATTTTTTGTCGCAGCGCGTAAATGACTTATAGAAAGCGGAGAAGACTCTGCGTGATATTACTATAAAACATTTCTCTAAATCTTTATTTTTTAAAATAATATTTTCTTAATTTATTACAACCAAAGTTATGTAAATATGTATTACTAATTTTCCTCCCAAACTAACAAAAATATAAAAATCCCTAAAAATACGAAAATTCGTGTTTTTATTATAGGCTAGATTTCAATTGGGGTGTCCACAGTTCGTTCCAAATAGTGTCTCAAAATGTAGACGTCTACATTTTAGGACGTTTTCTAACCGTAAAATCTGTGGTGTTGTTGTTTCCCATACAAAATTGGAAAACGACGCCGTCTACATTTTGTCACACTCAAAGGTATGTTTTTTACGCGTCTACATTTTGCAACCTCGCGGCAGGGTTGCATTATGGCAGTACTAATCACATTTTTTTTTATTTATTGGGCACGTTTTGTGTATTTGCATTTAATTTGAGCGCAATTTCTGATGAAAAGAAACAAATCAAGGAAAAGAAATAACAAATATTAGGAATTGGTAATTAAGTTAAATAATTACAATTTTTCAGAAACAAAATCGAAAGGCGACATATAAAAAATGCACGAAAAGAAGAAATGTCTGGCAACACCAGCAAAGTTTTGAGACGATTTTGCGACGACTGCTAGAAAGGGGTGCTCACAGTTTGATGCTAAATATGTCTCAAAATGTAGACGTCTACATTTTCAGACACAATTTGGAACGAACTGTGAACACCCCAAATGTCCTCAACTGTATATTGAAAACTCAAATGTCATTTGATTTATGGCATGTGAATTTGTGGTTGCCACATCCAACAAATTGTACTTATTGATCAATATTATTGAAGATTTGACGAAGATTTAACTTAAATCTACTGCCTTTCGAGATTTAATTTTATATGGTAAATCTCTAAAGATTTAACGTCAAATCTCGTCAGAGGGCTAAATCTTCATTAAATCTCACAATGGAGACATAGTATAACAGGGCCTAATCGATTCATGATATCGATACTTTCTAAAATATCGAACATTCCTTGCTCCATCGTGGGTAACCATTACTAATAGCGCAATTTGTATAGCTTTAGCACATGTAATTTTTCAAAGAATTAGAGCGAATTGTGCGTGTCTCGTGTTTCTGGTGTAAATGGCGCTAACGCTTTCATATATTGCTGTTGACGTGGCAACTCCAGTTACGGTGTTAGCGCAATTGCGTCGTGCAGTGCAGTGTTACCCATTCCTAATCGTGGGTGACGGATAGTAACAAAAACAAAACAAAATAAGTTGAAGCAACTGGTGTCGGTGGACAAGCTTCAAGCTTGTTTGAAGCCAAATAATAGATAAACAGCGCAAATATTTTTAAGAAAATAAATCCAAATTTATTTTGAAGAAGTGTGCAGAGTAAATATTTAGCAAAACCAGCTGTATACATATCTGTGTATATACATAAGCTTGCGTGCATACGAGGGGAATCTATTTTACATACAATTGAGTGCATTTGCAAATGTGCCGTATATCTACTACACATGTATATACAAAGAAATAATTATTGTAAATCGTTCATTATGGTTATTGTTTTGATGCCTGTTTTATACATATTTTGCAAATATGAAGGGAAATGTGGAATGTGAAAATGTATCTAAATCGGATGATTTCAGTGATGCCCGTCCAATACTAAGCAAGTGATAAACTCTACAATTTTAATTTTTTTGGTTCCACGTACTGATTTTGAGACTACAAGTGTAATTTAAGTGTCGAATAGTGCAAAAAGTCATACCCAGACACTGAATTTCGGAATAAAATGTCAGTGATACTAAGAGTTGGATATGTAAGTAATTTATTACATAATAATAACATAACTTGCAGGATCTCACTTAAAAATTCTCGTCCAAATCTGTTTCATTTTGATTTTCTAATTTCTAAGTTCCGTTAAGTTATGTTGTCATAATCAGGCTTTTAGCATTAAGTTCTGCATACTTAGCTAAATATTTGTATTTTTATGTTTACACTATTGTAGTAAATAAGCGATATTAATGTATGTATGTATGTTCATTGGGTATCTATTAATCTAGTTTATTTATTTATTTAGACTTATAACAAAGATTTAGCGTTCTTAAAATTAGATTAAGACTTAAAACTTAAATATTAAATATTAACTATGATATACTCTACGGAAATTTTAAATTAATTTTATCACTGCAAAACTTTTATATTAATATAAAAGCATGCCATTGGCCGGAGGCTAGCTAGCCGGTTGAAAAGACCAAGTTTCCAATCCGCGCTATACTTTTTCGGTTTCTCCGTATATTGATACCTCCTGGGTGGTCGAAAATGCCGAGTTTCCGATCCGCCGAGTCGCGCTTTCGTGACGGTTGGAAAGGCCTAGCTTCCAATCCGCCCATTTATTTTTTATTATCTTAGGTTTTTAATGTACACTAGGTGGTCGGAAAGGCCAAGTTTCACAATTTTTTATAGCACTTTTTTTCATTACAGCACTTAAAGCCTTTATATAAAATATTTTTCTTGTCCACTTCAGTTCTATACTTCGGGACTCTAAAGCTGTTTATCTCTCTAAATAAATATGTATGGATCTCATTTATATATCGGAGATTATCGCTAAGATAATCCGGCAGGTTGCCCTTAATATTGTTTACAAATTTCATAGCGTGGTAAAAAAATTGTTGCTTCACGCTTAACCAATTCAAAGTTTCAAGTATTCATCTTTTTGGTGTAGTACGGTTTGTTGAGGATGAATCTCATCGCTCGGTTCTGCATTTTTTGTCTTTTTCACATTTAGTTTGAGTTTATTTGAACTCAGCCATTGATACAAAGAATTAAAATCTTCTTGCATTTTGACAACCGCATTTGGTGGTTCCCTATCACTGATCGTTAACAAGGCATCACTCGCAGAGTTTTAATTTATAATATTTGAGAGAACTTTTAATATCGTTTATATATATTAAAGAGTAGGGGTGCCAAAACTGAGCCCTGTGGTAAGCCGATGTCTACGGCTATCTTACTAGACATCTTTGAATGAACTATTTATTGCTTGTTGCCTACGATTACATAGAAAGCTTCTAAACCAGTCAAGCTCTGTTTTTATACCAATGTAATTTGGTCGGTTCGGTTCAGTGGTTCGAACCGTTTTTGCACTTTTGGATTGGTTCGTCAAAGCGTTTTTTTTGGTCTTTGAACCGGGGTTTCGGTTCGGTTCAACGGTTCGAAAAACAAAAAAATAACGCGCAAGTTTAAGTGTCAAGTGTCAAGTGCAACAACGCGCAAGGTTAAGGGTCAAGTGTCTGTCAAATGAGAGGGTTGCCTTTACATTTGATATTGTCACATGGTAAGCAAACATGGTAGGTATTACCATGTTTAACAAAAAGAAAAAGAGTGGGTACATATATCTATTGAAAATTGGTTGAAACGAACCTTTAAACCTTTACAGAAAGAGGTTCAGTTTTCGGTTCGGATCAAACATTTGTGGAAAATTTAGGTTCGGTTAATGGTTCAGTTAATAAATAGAAAAAAAACGGTTTTCCGGTTCAAAACCGGTTCAGTTCAAAACCGGTTCACGTCCCTGTATCCAACATTCGGACCCTATCAATTATTTCAAATGCTCTTTTAAGATCAATAAAGATCTTCTTTCCATTGAGATAGCACCAGATTCAACGCAGTCTCACAAAAATGTTTGGCTCTGAATCCAGATTGTTTTATGAGTATTTGATTGGATTCCAAATAGTACTGTAGCTGGT